ACGAGAAGAAGCAGTGGTGTCATGGACCAGAGTGGTGGAGCAGGTTAGCCACTGCATCCTTGAAGCTAATGTTACCCTTGAGACGGGAGCGTCCTCTTACTCTCCTGACAGGTATAAGGTGAGGTCTTGAGAACTGACTATTGAAACTGCCAACATGGTGTCCTTGCCACAGCAATTTTAGTAACGGTGACCTCGGGTAAAAGCTGTGTTGGAGCAGGTTTAACAGAATGGCAGAAGAAAAGACAGTGAGCATTGAGGACACTTTTTAATGAATTTTGCTGCAAAGCGAAGCAAGGGGATAGGGTTGGAGCTGGGGGAAAACAGAATCAAGAAATGTTTTTATTTTAAAATGGAGGAAATAAATGCATATATTCCAAAGGGAGGAGTACTGAAAAAGAAAAAAAAAATAACAAAGTAGGAAGGAAACTCAGGAAAGTATATTATTATAAATGTCAAATCAAGAAAGTGTTTTGGGAAGGAGTTAAAGTAGGTCAAAAGCTGTTGAATTCAGTAGGTTGAAGTGTGAGAATTGCCCTTTAAATTTAGCTAGATTTGGGTGTCAGTGACCTTGATGGGGATAGCTTCACTGTAGTGGTGGGTATAAAAGGAATCAGTTAGAAGATTGGGAGTTGTCTCTATATACAGTTCAGTCAGCTGCTCTAATAGCTACAATGGTAATGGCATGATACTAAATGTTTGACTTGTATTATTAACCCCTTGAATGATGTTAGGAGCCCTTGCTGTGGATATTATTACTTCAGACTGAGGCATGGAGAAGTTAGGAAACTGAAGTCAAAACCCTTGGAAGTGGCAGAACTGGGTTTTGAATCCAAGTAATCTGATACCTACCAGAGCTGACAAGTAGCCTCTATGTGATATTAGTTGAAACCAGTCACACTGAGGGGATGAAACGATTTTTGTTGTCAGTTTTTGTTTGCTTGTTTGATTGGTTTTTGTTGGTTGGTTTGGGCCATATTAAAATATGGCAATATGAGATACAGTTTTTAATTTTTTTAATTATCTTCGTAAAAGATAGAACTAGTATTGTTATAACCAAACTGTTTTTCAGGTCTTTGAAAAATAACATGAGTATTTTGTTTAAAGAAACGTGTGATGTGAGTTTGCTACATTGCATATGTTTTGTGGACTATATGGGTAGAGGGAATTTCTGCACTGGACAACTGTTGGGCTACCTCAGTGGTTATCATCTATAGGTGATTGTTTTTCCCCAAGGATACATTGGCAAAGACATTTTTGATTTTCACAGAGTGTGTGTGTGTGTGTGTGTGTGTGTGTGTGTGTGTGTGTGTGTGTTTGCTACTGGCATCTAGTGAGTTGAGGCATAGGAGGACCCTGTTAAGAATCCTACAGTGTGAAGTAGACCCTTACAATAGAGACATTATACAGCCCAAAATGTTATTAAGACCAAGGTTGAGAAACACTGTGCCCCATAAACTGAGTCATTTTCAAACTAAGAAATTTTAAATTATCAAAGACTCTGGAGAATGAATTTGTCAAGAGCAAATATGATGTAGTGGTGAGGAGTGTAGGATATTAGGTGGAGGTGCATGGAAAGAAGAAGACGACTGCAGAAGGGACTGAAGAAAAATGGGGGAGGCAAGCTTGCTAGTTCTAGTATTTTCCCTAAGGGTGGATTGTGTGCACATTTGTGAAAGGTAAAGAAACTTAATCACTCCTTTCTGCCTTCCTCCAGTACCTGATGATGGTCAGCTGTTCAGAAGACTAATTTTAGAATAGCATTTCAACAATATTCTTGACACAAATGGGCTAAGAGATGGATTTTACTTTGATTTAGAACATTGAAATTCATTGATAAATTGAAGACACTTTTACATTGCTATTTTTAAGAAGTGCTTTTGTGACCTTTAATTCATAATTATAAAAATAGCCACCGTTTTTTAAATGCTTTTTTGTGTGCTGGACACTTAGTCAGTGCTTAATCTAGTCAAACCATCGCAATAACCCTTTGAGATTGTTACTATAATTAGCTCTGTTGTGCCAGTCAAGATATGAGTCCCAGAGAAATCAACTGTCATCCTTAAGATCAAACAACTAGTAAGCTAGGGTTCAAATTCTGGTTTGGTGCCATAGGTGAAGCTCATAATACTGACTGATGCACTGCCTCCTCCTGTTAAGAACAAATGCAGTCCTTGTTCATGATATGCTTCCATCTAGCTGCAGTTTTGGTCCACTAGGTAATCTTGGTATATCTGATGTAGTGAGAATGTTTATATATGTTTGGAATCACATATTCCATATTATATTCAAAAGCATTTTCCCTAAGAGTGGATATAAGTTTTAAAAATAAAGGGCTGTGAAATACTACATTTTCAAATGGTTCCTTCAAAAATCTATTAAAAATTTAATAGCCAGTTCAAAGTAATTTGGATATGATGATTTAGGATAAATTTTTGTCTTTTTCTTAAATGTAAAAGCTTGGGGGGGAGGAGGGATGAGGGGGAGCAATAGAGGGGTAAATCTAGCTAAGATACATTTTAAGCACACACATAAATATCACAATGTATCCCCCTGTATAAGTATTATATGCTAATAAATTTTTTAAAGCTTAGTATTAAATTTTGTTAGTGTATAGTTGCAATGAAATACTAAATATTTCAACGAATTCATCTAATTATCTCATCTAATCATGTAAAACATTGTGTAAAATCAGAACATTGGAGTTCTATGAAATATTGATATACATTCTTCGGGGAATATTTAAAAAGAGAGGGACCTTAGTATTTATCATACTTGGAAATAAATTAGATTCTTTTTAACAGTTTATAAGAAGTATGTTTTGTCCATCAGACTTGGACTTCTGACAAGTAACTGTTACACCTAGGTATTTGTTTCTTCTGGGAAACTGAGAGGAATATAAATCATTGTGGGGCTAGGTGGAGGAGCGGAGGACAGATAGCACGGGTGACTGTAGGTGCTAGTTCTGTTCAGACTTCTTATGTTGGGGGTAAGTGATAAGGCATATTCTTTCATTAATAAAAATATTGTTGCTTTTATATTTTGTTTAATTTACATATGTCTGCAGTTCAGATTTTGAGAAAAACAGCACTGTACTTGGAGGGAGGGAGAGAGGGTATGAGAGGCACTAATAAAAAAGTTTGCCTTTTGTTGTTACTCCAGCTATCAAGCTTGAGTCTAGTTTCCTTAGTGTTCTTGATACCACCTCCCACCTTCATCCTCACTGAGCTATGGCTTGTTCTTGGGCAAGATTCATGCCACCGCCTAAAAGTGCTTTTTCTTTCCCCTCTGCAGACTTACTTAGTTGTGAGGGGAATGTGATAACCACTACACTATAGCAACAACTGTGAAAAACTTACTAAGTTGTGATAATTAATGGCTCCCTATGTGTTGTTTGCTGTGTTAACGTTTAAGTTACATACCATGTGCAGTTCCATATTGTTCAATAGTTAATCATTAATGTTAGAAGATGTAAGAAATACTGGAATTTTATGTTAATTTATAAATGGGTTATTAATTGATAAATTCCTTCAGTGTAGTGATGAAATGTGGTTAGAATACTGTTTTCTTTGTATTCCCAGTAGGATTTGATTCAGCAAGAAGGAAAATACCCCTATTAATTTTTGAAAATAATGGTCTCAGTATTTATTTGTTTGAAAGATCTAGTTTCACTGTTAATTTAAATTGATAATATATATATATCTCAAAAAGTTTTAAAGTAGCAACATTAACATAGATTATTAATCAGATGTAAATTTTGCAAGTTATATGTAAAAATATAATCTTTTTTCCCATCTTGCTTTATGTAACTTTTTTGATGTGTGGAAAAGAGGGACAGGAGCTATAAACTCAGCCAAATGTGCTTTTGTTGTTCCAAAATTTCAATGCCAGAAGCATATAAAACTGCACCTGTTGGTAATTATGAGCAAGCCAGCCTTTGCCGAATCCCAGGCCTCTGCTTAAAATTTTTTACTGGAACTAAATGATGTTGCCATTTTTATTTTTAGGTTTGCTGGCATGGGTAATCTCATTAAGGTGCTAACCAGGGACATAGACCACAATGCAGCACATTTTTTCTTGGACTTTGAAAGTAAGTCTCTTTAGCCCTTCACAGCTGGTGCATAATGGTAAAGGTGAAAGATTAATTATACTCACACCACAGTGAAGGCCAGCCAGAATATTTATTAATTAAACATTGGGATCAAACAAAGTTTGCATGATTTTTTCTTAATCACAGGCAAACATCACCATCATATGTATAATTCCTCAGTTTCTCATTTGCTAAAATCATGTTGAGTCTGTAGCCAGTGCTGTCCTTTCATTAGTCCATGAAGCAAGTAGCCTTATGATGAATATTCTGACAGTATGCTTTAGTGACTATACCAAACAGTCTGCTCACTTAAAATCCTCTAGTAATTTTCTTTAAAAAGTGAGAATTGTGCTGCATATCTGGAATATCTTAAATAATGCCACAAATTTTACTAATAATCCACATTTGGTTAGAAATATGTGCTATATTTAATGGCGGACAGGAAATAAAGTTTTATGTTCTGCTATTTTAAGATGAAATGTGAAGGTGAGCTTTGGCCAGACCTCTTAATGTTTGGCTTTGAATAAATTGTTTCAGTGCTATACTAACAAAATTTCATGTCAATAATTCCTGATCAGAAGTTTCTTTTTCAGAATACTAGCACTATTGGAATACTTAAAGAATTTTTCATTATAAGGCCATTAATGAAACTTGTCTTGGGAGAATTTTGAGAAGAATTAGAGCAACAATTGTGCCATTGTGTACAGGAAAAACCACATTTCACCTCTAGGTCCTACATATCAACACCTTGAGAACCAGGTTTGCTGCCTGCCAGAGCACAGTCTGGGTAACCTGAAGGACGAATTCATGGCCTAATGAACATTTTCCCTGTTACTATTTTTTTTTAAAGTAAATTTCACATGTTCTTTTTTATAAAGGGATATTTTCTCTTTTCTCATTCTTGTCTTGACAGGTACCTTAACATGGGGAATCTTCTTAAAGTTTTGACATGCACAGACCTTGAGCAGGGGCCAAATTTTTTCCTTGATTTTGAAAGTGAGAAGATGATTTTATATCTATTTCTCTTTGCCTGCAGTAGACTGCGTTTGTCTTGCACTAAATGAATGTTTCCACTTCGCCATCTTTTTAACTGCTTTGCATGACTGAGCTATGAATTGTTTGAGTAAAAGTTCTGGTGCCTTCTAGAACTGGAAGTCCTATTTTATGAATTAAATTATGGTAGTAAAATGTCTGATTGTTTTAAGAGATTTTATATCTCTTAATTGGAGAACATTTTATGATTTGAGATTTACTCTAATGAAAACATTTTCATGAAAAATTTTGGTGAAAAAGACAAATACTATCTTACAATTTATTAAGAGAAGCAATATTGGGGGAAATTATATTGCAGTTGAGAAAAATTGACTAGGCTTTAATTACTGTATGCATATGAAAGCATTTTTTAAAATACAAATCTGTTCATGAAGGCCATTCAGAGCTCAGTAATTTGGCATAATATTAAAAGGTAAGTGTGAACCTAAGTTATTTAATCCTTGTAGATAATTTGAAAAGTTAAATTTAATTTCATATATTTATTTTGGGAATTCATTTATTTCTGTTTCTGAGTAAAAAGGAAAATAATAGGTTCACAGACCTTTAAGTAATTTGCCTTCTGTTTGTTTTGTGTTGCATGACCTGTTGTAATATGGTCTAAGAGTGGCAGGTAAGTGTCATTGACCTCCATGCACGTTGCTCAGCTTATGCTCTTTTGGCTGTCAATATTGCTTTAGCTTGCCTGGTTGTCAAATTGGGGAAAATGGTATTAAATTGGTGTTTTAGTGTGAATGTTGCTATTTTAACTGATTGTTAGAAAATTGTTAGGAAGGGGTGAAGAGATAGCTTTTAGGTTTTAAATCATATGATCTTTTATATTCTTATCTGTGGTTAAATATTTGAACAGATTTTTGAATACTTAAAATTTAAGACTTTTTCTGATTTTTAAAAACAAAACAAACAAGTCCCTTAAAATAAACCCCAAAAGAGACATTATGTTTTCCACCATCTTCAGTTTAGTTTTTATGATTTTATACAATTTATTCTATTTTATGCATCATTTACATGTATTTTTTTCTTTTAAGCCAGGACACTTTATATGAACATGTTAACTTATAGCATATCTCCATGTTACAGAATAGTTCATGGTTTCTGATATTTATCTTCTTTATTACATTCCTGCTCCAGTTTGGGGACTGTGTTTAGGCTAGTGAAGAGTTCTAATGTCAATATCATGACCATATTAAATTGTGTTTTTGTTTTTTTAGGGGAAAATTATTAAATGAATATTTGTTTTCTTGACCCTTCTCAACAATTTAGCAGTGCTATTTTAAGTGCATGTTAAGCATGAGTTTTAATCAGCTTGGGGATGTTGAGCAAGCAGATTGCTGACTTGGAGATTATTCTTTCAGATGAGGCAACTTACATTAAAGCTGTATTTTAGTTTATTTGCATCTGTTTCAACCTTGGTTTTGTATATTTTTCTGCTATTCTGTTTTCTTTTTCCTCTTTGTCCCAAATTCCTTACATTTACAGAATCTTGGCTTTTATACAGTCAAGATCTTGTTCAAGACTTGGCACTTGATCTTTTAATAAAATAGCATCATGTTGTGGTCAAGTGGGAAGCATGGATTTAAATATAGAACCTAAAAGATTTTTGATCTTGGCCTTTTAATCTTTTGGGGTTTATATCATCTTTAAGATTTAAATAGCTAATTTAGTGGCAAGAAAAGATTAAAATTATAACAATAATAACCATCAGTATAGGACTGTATATAAAGTATTAACTTCTTAAAGGCAGATAGAAATTTTAAAATGATACTTGCTGCCTCTATTAGCCAATATAGAACTTTGAGTTGGCACTTACTGGTATACTATAAATGAAGTTTAGTGAAGACATACTGTATATCAGGCCAGAATTTACTTGTTACTTCATAATTTAGAATTTTAAATGTTTCTTTTGATTCTAATGTTGGTGGTCTCTTAATTTTATTACTCATCAGCTTGCATATTTTTTTCTTTTTTTAAAAAAAAATTTATGTGTTTTAGTTGGGAACTCCTAAACTATTTTATACCAGATAAAATTGCCAGCATAGTTGATTTGTCAGTTGTTATTTATTACTTAGAATAAAGCTACAACTTTTTTATTAAATAGAATACATTATTTATTTCTAGATACATAGAGTAATTAAGTCGTGCTGTTTCCATCATTCTAAGGGGTTAAATCTAGCCCAGTACAATGCATCTCCATAGTTGGAAAATACAGAAATAGTTCTATGCAGATATGTCTGGCTTTTTTTATCAGATTGTGTACAAATTTAAGTATTACTGTATTTGAAACATTTCATGGAAGCTTACAGTAAAAATGAAATTTGTCTTTAAGTCATTAATCCCCTAACCTACCCCTCTCCAGCCCAAACTACACTGTACTTCAGTTCAGTGTACATTTATAACTTATCTCCTGTATACCAGCCAGTAGATATGGGGAATGCAAAGGTGACTGGTACAGCCCCTGCATTAGGGAATCCGTTGGTCTAGTAGGACAGATAGAAATGCACACTCATAATTTAATTTGCATAGTTTAGATTCAAGGTGTAGATCAGAAAATAAAAACTTAGTGATGAGTAGATTGGACATCATCTTGATGGTGATGTTTGAATTTGGTTTTGAAGAACAAATTCAAATATTTCACGCTAACTTGATGAAGGACACTGGAAAGAAACAGCAATTTGTACAAAGGTCTTAGGATGCAAAATGTCATTCTCTGTTCAGTGAAGTACAATATTCTTTAGGTAGAGGGATCTATGTGATAAGATTTTATTTTGGTTTTGTTTAATAATGATTCAGTTAACCTATAAGCCCAGAATTGCTCCATAAAAGTTGGCAGCAATCATGCTAGTATGGCATATAAAAAAAAGTCACCAAATAGGGGTCTGTATAGCCTCTTCTAATACTTGGATAGTAGTTTCCTGCTATTTTATAACAACATTGTTAGTTGATAGCTCAGTCTAATAACAGATCTTGAGTAAATACTGTGTCTAGTAGTAACGCCCTAAATTCTGGTTCATGGGAGAAGAGAGATTTTATTTGTTTTTGTGCCCCTTCCCAACCTTAGCAAAGTGCTTTGCAAATGATACAAGTTCAGTATTTGTTAGTTAACCATGATTTACATAATTATATCCAGGTAAATCAGAATAGGGGAGTAGATAGAAATAGAATTTCCTTCCTCTGATTCTTTGTCAGCCTTGCTTTTCCATTTACTTATGACTTCCCGTGTTGCCTGTTTACCCCTATCATTTAGAAATATCGGTGCCCACTCTTTAGTCTAACTTCACTTTTTCTGTTTTATTGCTGCATTTTTTCAGTTGCTTTTGCCCTGTGCTTGAAAACATCTTTATTCTGGTGGCCTCTTTAGAACTTTTTAAAAATAAAATTGTGTATAAAATTGATCAAAAAACAAAGTGTGTAATAGCCTTCTTTAAAGCTGGAGGCTTATTTGTGTCTGTACCTTCTCATTTATTAAAAAACTGCTATAGAAAATCTGCAGGTACTGAGTTTTTATCTTATACCAGTAATATGCAATGTGCATTTTGATCCCTGTGTTGGTGAAATTCATGGAGATATATTGTAAATACTTACTGAGTGAAGGACTTAAGAGTAAAGCAGAAAGACTTACCACAATGAGAATTTTTATATTGACTCACTTTTTAAATTTTTTCCTTTCAGAGCTAATTTTTGGTTCCTTTTTTTATTGTATCTCCAATTTTAGCAATTACTTTTAGTGATTCTTCTGCTAGTCTGCTCCATGTAGGAAATTGGTATGAAATTATCAAAATATTTAATTTTGCTTTCAAACAATAACAGCAATTGAAACATGCCTTAATTTCCCTTTAACAGCTTTTATCATTAAGCTTGGTAAGAAATCATTGTCTACTCTTGGTAGTAGATACATTATTTTGCAATCAAATGAATGTCCTTTTGTTAATAGGCTAAGTGGTATATTTTCTTGAAATACTAAAGCCATTCTTTGCTATGAAAAGTCAAAGTGACAAGTCTTGGTTGCATTACATAATACCATTGTTTTGGGGAAAAAAAGAAAGCTTTATTTTACAGTCTTTTTTCCTCTTAGTATTCCCTTTTGCATGACTTGCTTTCAGTAAAGTAGTGCCTACCTGTCTGCTATTTTGTTTGTCTTCATTTCTACAGCAGTCTTCAGCAGCTTTCAAAATTATAAATGTTACTTTCCTGTGATAGTCTAAAAAAATGTTTAATCAGTGTGGTGCTGGGTGTTTTCCCACCCTTAAGGCAAACTTGAATCTTCTCCATTTTTAAATCTCTTGGTACTTACTAAACCTTTATTACTTATTAACTATTTACAAGGTCTATTTAAGTGTACTTGATGTACGTATGTAAGTCTCAGTGTCACATTTTTATGTTAATAGCTAATCACCACACCAAAAATACATATTTCAGTATTTTTAGACTTCACAAATGCCTTTGGTATCTAATAGAAAAATACTGTCCCCTGTCATGAATTTCCACTTCCTGAGTTCAAACTATATTATGTGTCTACTATTGATGTTATGTCTATAGTTCCACAATTCCATACGAAAAAGTTTTTATACTGTCATTTTTGCATGTAGAAAGTATTTTTCTCTGCTGCATCTGGTGTAAGTATAACAGTTACGGGTGTGATTTATTTTTTTAAGTGTGTGTAGCTATTACTTTGGAAAATATGGTCTGACTAAATGTGAAAACTTATTATTGCTAAAATAACACTGATTTTTTTTTTAACCTAGTTATTTAGTTACAATGTCAGTATTTGCTCTAGTGATGCCTTTTTAGCTTTGGATACATCTTTTAGTTTTTCAATTGGCTTTTCTGTGAACATATTTTTTTATTTAAAGAAAGCAATTTCTGAAAAGAAATTTGAAAAATAAGGGAACAGATGAATGAACACAGTTTTTTAAAGTTGGCTTTGCACGTGAATGCTACTTTATTATTATCACTGTAGTTATATTCTATGTATGTTAACTGAAAATTTGATATAATAAGTGTTGTTTTTAAAAAAACATGTATTTTTGACTAGTTGGTAGGTTTAATAGGTGACTTGAATTATGACCGGCCCCAAGCCTAAAATAAAGTTGCAGTTTAAGGCATCTTTACTCCTAGTTTCATGCATAAAGTAAGTTTCTTTCAAACTTTGTATATAAAAGAGTAAATAGATCATTGTGTACTCTTGGGGAGGTCAAATGGATACAGAAAGTTTAGATTCTAGTTTTATATGATTGATAAACAGATTTGTTACAAATGTTCTTAATTTCATCTTATAAATTTGGGCCATCTCCCTACCCCCCATAAAGTAAAAATTTAGCATGAAGGAATCCTGCTAGCATAATTATTCACTAAAACTTTATGGTAACCGTAATGTTTATCATTTTAAGTGCTTTATGCCTTACCCACAGTGTTGAATGTGGTCCTGTTGGAAAGATTTATGAAAAATAAATGTATTGAAATACTTGTCCTTAGAGGAAGCAAATGACCAAATTATTAAAAATATTTACAATAGGATTTCTGTTAGCTTAAGTCTTGAAGAGAGAAACCCAGATTTGTCATCTGTTGGCATATGTTTTGTGGTTAACACCACAGGTGGTGAAAATGCCCAAATGTTTGTTTCCCTGGTTATGCTTTTATAACTGTAATTCTTTTTTTTTTTTCTTTCAGTAAATACCAGGTATGTAGGAACTCAGCTTTTTGGTTGAGCATTTCAAAATTTCAGTGATAGACATTTTTGGCAGCTCAGGAATTCTGGAGCAGTTTTGTAGTTTGAAACCCTCTACATAGAAATCTTGATCTGGAATTAATCAGCAGAGTTCAATGATACTGCTGTAGACTTAGTCTTCTCTATCCTCCCTTGCTTGACCTACATCATACTTGTGGAGACAGTTGAAAATGGTCCCTAGAAAGGGGACCATCTAAAAAATTTTTTTTTTGGAAAGTTTTTCCCTTTTCTATCCCAACCTAGTTGTTAAAAATGAAATGAACTTTATAGGAAAATAAAGAAGCATCAGTATTAAGCTATAGATGAGCAAGATAGCTTTCATTTCTATTGCATTAAGATAGATCATTGCTGATGATGATATTGATGAATGTAGTGGAAAGAGTGGTTAAGAATATCAGAATTTAAAATTTTAATTATAATTTTCAGGTTGGTTTATTATACCAAGTCATAATTTGTAACTTAAACTATATGTTAAATAGTAGCAGTAGTACTCCCTTGCTAGTTATTCAAATATGAACTACTAAAAGTTACTGGTCTTCTAAGACGTGGAGTTAATGTTGAATAAAGTGTAACTCATCTTTGGAAATTTGGGTTGTTAATTGCTTAGAGTTACAAATGTATTAAAAAAATTCATGTCACTGTAAATTTTCTTGTGCTTTCCTGCTATTTAGATGCCCAGCCTACAGAGTCTGAGAAGGAAATTTATAATCAGGTGAATGTAGTATTAAAAGATGCAGAAGGCATCTTGGAGGACTTGCAGTCATACAGAGGAGCTGGCCATGAAATACGAGAGGTAATGTTTATGCTCTTTCTAGTAAACTAAAATACACAGTACCTTACCTCTTTATAATTTGTATTGTTTTCTAAACTTTTAGATTTCTCCATTCCATATGAAGTGTTACACTTGAAGGAAGGTATCATTTGGCATTATTTCAAAAGTGGTTACAGTGATGTGTGAGGGTAAAAGGAAAACAAAACAAACTCTCTCTCTCTCTCTCTCTCTCTCTCTCTCTCTCTCTCTCTCTATATATATATATATATATATATATAAAACACTGAAGAACACCAAGTATAAGGGAAAAATAAAAAGCAGTGGTAAGAGATTCACCTTACCCATTTGGTAAAAGGAATTAAAGACGGTCGTAGTTAAATAAAATAAGTATTAAAGATATGTAAGTTAGAAAAACTAATACTTATTTAAATCTACTGTAGATGGACGTCAAAAATACAAACTATTCAAGAAATTGAAGAAATTTTCATTGAAAAATGTATGTTGATTTGTAGGCTTAATGATACAAACAGAAAATATTCCTGAATAGTAGAAAAATAATTAAAGAAAAGAAGGTACAAATTAAAGCTATGTATGCCACAATATACAAATAATGAATACATTATCATAACTTTCATAGGTCAGTGTTAAGATAATATTGTTATTTAATGAGACAGTACAGCAACCATTCATACTACCTTTGAAAAAATATAGACAATGGAAAAAAAATTTCATCTTTGCTAGTAAGTGCATATCACTCCGAAGAAGTTTTGGTTGGTTTATAAAAAAAAAAAGCAGTCTCAAGCTAATGCAGTCTCAAGCTATAAAATGGTGGTCTTTTTGGACCATAAGAACTCTAAAATTATTTGTATTCTTATATCAGGTACTTGTAACAGAAAATATATTCCAAGCAGCTGTAATTCACGAGGAAGTGTAAATGTTCAGACTTTTACAGCTCTCTTACTCACTGTAGCAAACATGTGCTAGCAACTCAGAGTTGTTGTGAATATAAAAATTAAGTAATCATGTAAGCAGTGGCACAGTGCCTGACATAAAGCCAACATAAACTGAGCTTCCTGTTAGTGTGCTAATGGTGCAGAATTGAATATATGTTAAATAATGTTTTATTAAACATGATTCAAAGTAGGACAAAATGCAATTTAAAATAGAATCTATACAATAAGGAAGTGGTTCTCTAGGATGAACCACTAGGGGAGGGAATAAGAACTTTCCATTAGTATTGGAGTATGTCCATAATAGTTTTAACAGTTTTATAATACCTCCTTTGCCATAACTTTACCATTGACATTTACTAAGTGCCCTTTTGCATGTAGAACAGCAGTGAAACTGAGGTGAGAGGAGAAGGAACCAGAAGCTCAAGGAGAACCATAAAGTAGGTCATGGAAGAACTTTAGTGTCTTCAGTTCTACATCCAGAAGAGACAGGGCCAGGGAAATAGGTAGCCTACTCACTTAGGAAAGAGATGACATTTGCTGGAGTATTTTTATATTGTGAGAATACATTGGTTTTTTTGACCCTTGCAAGAAAAAGTTGGATGGGCTGCTTACAAGAAGAAAATAAAATTTTAATTTTCATCTGTTTAGTTCCTGAAAATAATTAAACAAATTTATACCACCATTACAGACATTCTCAGTCTGGGCTTAGGGATCCAAAAGAGTTTTTTTCATATGTATCAGCATAATATCAAAGACTCTGAAATGTTCATATTAATATGATATGAAGTATGATTATTATGTTGTGGTATCAAATTTTCTTGAATATTATAATATTTCCAGATAATCACCTAAGTAAGATTGACTTTAGATACTATTGAATTTAAGCATCATCCAAAAACTTCTCATAGAAAAATGTCAAGAAAATTTGAAAATACTAGGCAGGTATGGAGGCACATGCCTACAATCCCAGGACTGGGGAATCTAAGGCAGAAAGATCATGGGTTCCATGCCAGCCTGGCTACATAGTGAGACTCTGTCTCTAAAGAAAGAAAATTTGAAAATAATTTAAAGTATATACAATAGATGGATTAAGCAGTACATAGCTCCTTTTTTTAAGTTTAGAGTTCTTTTCTTCATAGCATCCTTTATGTCTGGGTTCAATATTATTTTGCTTTCTCGATTTTTAATTTTTTGTGAAAGGAGTCAATAACAGTGCCTTGGGAAAAGCTAAACACTTTAATACCTCTCACTGTTTTATAAGCAGGCCCCTGCATTAGTTACGAATTTCAATTTTCAAATGGTGTGTTTTGTTTGCTTAAAGTTGTTAGAGAAAGTGAAAGAGGTTGTTGAAAAAAAAGTAAAGCCTATAAGGGACTAAGACAGTGTCTGTAGGCAGATAGAAGGTAAAAGCAAGAGAATATTGTTATTTGTGAATAACCCTCTGTACTCACAAAAGATTGCCTAATGGCTTGAAAGATTGAATGTAGAAAAAGGCACATTTAGATTAAGAATTTCTAACTTCTGTTTTCTTCCCTTTCCAATTGAAAGCTAATTTTTCATCTTATTTAGTAAAGTCTAAGAAAACCTGAACTTCCAAATAAGATTTTAGTTTTAGTGAATAAGTGTCTGTGACCATTTTCAGGTTGATTTAGGTCCATAGGAGTTCGCCAGGTTTCTTTGAGCTGGTTTGGCCTGTTCCCAGACTTGGCATCTTTATTTATTGCCTTTTTTGGTTTTCTTTTGAAAAAATAGTAAGAGTACCTGTCTGTGATATCGGAAACAATATAATGTTTTCCTTTTCTGGATCTAAAAGACACCAAGGCGTAATATAGTTAACGATCATATATTGTGCATTTTATTATTCTAATATGTCAATATCTATCGCAAGGAAATTAAAAATGTATCATAGTAAGGTTTAAAGTTATTTGCAAAGTTGAGAAGGTCTTCTCTCAGGATTCCTGTGTCCATTGTATATTTTATAGATTATATCATAGGGTTTTTCTTCATTTGCTAAAAGCTGTATTTTAATACTGCTGTGATTTTTTTTAATGATGTAACCTTTTTGTTCTTTGCACTTAAAGGCAATACAGCATCCAGCAGATGAGAAGTTGCAAGAGAAAGCTTGGGGTGCTGTTGTTCCACTAGTAGGCAAATTAAAGAAATTTTATGAATTTTCTCAGAGGTTAGGTAAGTTGAAAGTTTTGTAATTATGACTTTTTGGTAAAAAACATGTATATTAGAGCAAGAGGCTAGATAATATGCTAGATAAGCATATTTTATGTTCACAGTATCGAATTTGACTAAATTGCTCTTAAATAGGTAAAACAGGTTATAAAACTACAGTTAATCTCTTGATTATCTCTATCAGCCCAGGTCTTTGAATTATTTGTACGATTTTCCTCAACAGATTATAATTGCTATAAGGAAATCTCTGGTTTCTTTGCATGCTAAAGAGTGTTAGTGTGAGAAACCACTTGGTAGAATTTATCTCCAGATATATGATAAGTCCTTTCCCATATGATTTTTAAAACACACAATTTTAAATAACCCAAGAGCCTGAGAACAGACTGTTAGGGAGCACCTGTGCTTCCTTGTTGGGGATTGAACCCAGGGTTTGCACATGAGAGGCAAGTGCCCTGCCCTGAGCTACATCACCAGTTCTTAAGACAGACTGTTACATGTAAACACTGACTGAGGTTGGGATAGCTCTTTTATAGTATTTGCCTTTCGATTTACTACCTCTGTAGTCTGTAGTTGGAAAGTCCTCTGTAACCTGTGTCAGTCAGGGCTTTTGCATCTCAGTTATCATGACTTCTGCATATTTAGACTCTTGTGATGTTAAAATTTGAAATTAAAGTGCTTTAGATGTCTCCGATTCTAGTGAAATCATCTTGGTCTCTTGGCATATGTCAGTGAAAAAAGCATAATTGGAGAATAGACCAGTGGAACTTAAATATTTTTGTATGTTTTAACCATTGGAATAGCACCAATTAGGGCTATACTAACACAGGTTATCACAAAAAGCTATCAGTTTTCCTGCTGTCATTGGGAGCTTTGAACTTTCATACTTGTGCTCTAGGGACTTCTGTAAAGGTAAGAGTAATGTAAAAATGTAGGATCTAATGGATTAGCCTATCTCTTGTTCAGTAACCTGTTAATGCCTGTAGTTTCCTTGCTAGCAGGATACATTTCTTTGCTTGTATATGATAGAGATTCATTTAATGTTTGTTGAGTGAGTGACATATTAATGGATATAATCTGGTATATCAAATGTTTATTAGATTTTTAGAAGCAGCATTAATAATAGATTTTAGGTTTTTGACACATCACATGGCCTGTTTGCTATGATAAGCTGGTGGCCTTGATCACATTGTTTAACTTCTCTGTGTTTCAACATCTGTCTGGACTTCCAGTCTATCAAGTTCTCTGAATCATCCCATAAACTTCTCATTTCTTCTCTACCTACCCCACTGTTAAGCCAGAATGGGAACAAATGCCACAGACAGCACATGGAGTGCCAGCATAACTCTCGTGGTCCTTCAGAAGCTTGCAATCTCAAGGAGAGACTTGTGTAGCCTGAATACTACAGATATACCATGGGTTATATTCCAGAAGACACCCTCAATCCCTTGCTGATTTACATATTTACAGAGGCCAGGGAAGGGATCACCAGACTAATTTGGAAGATACTGAATTTTGCTGATAGAGTTTAATATTACTGGTCAAGAAACTTCCTGTATGTGTCTTGGTTTGAGGATGTGGAGACATTCCTATTGAGGAAGCTACCAGTGTGGTCAGAGGGTAGACAAACTGTTCTGTCTCACTTCTGTCTTCTACTCCAGGGGTTTATGTTAAGGACTGCCTCCAGCAGTCAGAATGATTAAGTACACCCAACATACTGGGTTCTTTTCAGTGGGCTAGATTTATGAAAATCTATTTTAAAAGGTTCGTAAGTGCCCATGACAGTGTGGTCCTGTATGTTGGCTGTCTTACATCCTCCCCAGTCTACATCCTTTGGGTTCTCTTCAAGGATTCGGGGCTAGTGTTTCAGAGTGGACGGATGACAGTTGGTGGGAATAGATGATTGTCTTCTCTAAAGGACAACTCTTTGCAGGGGCCTCCTCTTGTGGTCATCTCATTGTTCCCTCTTCTTCTAGCCTGTCAACAGATTGGTCTTTATTATTTCTCTCAGTTGTCTTTTTGCAACTTTACTATATAGCTTTGACTCCCACTCTGGTGTACCAGCTGTCCTTACTTTCTTTCAGAAATTTAGAGCTTAGTACCCCATTAGTTTCCTCCTGTCATCTGCTTTTTCTAAAACTCATAACCACTTGGTTTTGTTTTGGGAGCTTCATCAGAGTCCAGTCCTTAAATCATCTCTCTTTTACTTTGCTTTCTTTCCAACTTAGCTAGAGACCTGGGCCACCTTCTGTGAGATCCTTTGTCTGCTTCCTCTTTTAATGCAGGACATTACAGACCAATAGGATTATTATTTGTTTTTTTTTTTTTTTTTTTTATGAGTCAGGGTCTCACTATGTAGACCAAGCTGCCCCAGCCTCCTGAGTGCTGGGATTACAGGCATGTGCTATTATGCTTAATAGGAATGCCTTGCATCAGCTTAGGCCTGCAGAAGGAAAGGCCGATCCAGCTGCTTCAAAGGCAAACAAGCAGCCTTACCATCTTGTGATTTCCTTTCTGATCTCTACCATTGAGGACTTCAGCTGTTCATGGACAGAATTTCTGCAGCTCTTGATCACTGGACATCCCACATGAACCAAGTGACCTGACTGTACTCTCCATAGTGGTAGAGCAACTTGAAATACTGAAGTAAACCCTGAGATTTGATCAGATCTAGGCAAATACAAATTTATTTTCTCTGTAACATCCTATAACAATAGTTTCTAATTAGGTTTTTCCTGTTCTCATGGCTTTCAAACTTCTGTAAATCTTGAGAGAAGTAAACTGATCTTTCAAAATAACAGAAGTTTTTTTCTTCTTAATTGATCTTCATGCTTGCACCACTGTAAGCCATCTATACTTCTACAATCCAGCATCTACACTGCAGATGAGGTGGTGTTGTATTCGTTTATTTTTTTTATTATCATATTATTGTTGTACTGGAGGCACACTGTGACATTTACTAAAATTCTTACACTATATCTTAGTTAAATTCACCCCTTTCATCAGCCTTCTCTATTCCCCTTCCCCATTCCTGTAATGCTCCCAACAGATCTCATTTTTTCATTTTCATACATGAGTACATGATATTTCTACCATATTCATCCCCCTTATCTCCTTCCCCCCACCAGTACTAACTCCCACACAAGACCTGTTTTACCTTTCTGTCCTCCGTTTTTGAAAAAGGATATTTTTGTTTGTTAAAGATAGCTATATAGGGAGTTTCATGGTGACATTTCCATGTATGTGTGTATTACAACCCAAATTGTTTCATCCCCTCTATTTTTCTCCTTTCTACCTTAGTCCCCTTCTGAAGGTAATTCCAGCAGGTTTAAAAATTCCATATTCATTCTTGTGTAGAAAGTACATCAACCATATTCACCTTCTTTTACTTTTCCTCTCCTTTAGTGTCCTCCCCTTAGCATGACCTATTTTTCATTCTTGTCCTTCGTTGTTTAGGTGTCTTCTTGTTCAAATGGGATTTTTGCCTTGGTATTATACCTGTACATGTATTGTACTTAAGTCAGTACAATGAACTGAACTTAACTCCACTGAACTTCCTTAACTGTTTTCCTCCTATCCTGTGTTGTTCAAGTTTTAAGCATATTTCCTTGTGTCTTGTTCTGTAAAGATGTGATGTACTTTTATTATTCACTGTCTTTCTTTCTGAATTGGGGTTTTAAAATGCTATCCTGCTGATGTCAGTACCTTGCTTAAATGGTTTCTCCAGGGCCATCGAGATGACAAGGCAGAGTGCCTAGTATGCACACACGGTGTGTGTACTGTCTTAGTCTTTAGTTACTCTGCTCCTTGTCCTCCCTGTTCTGCCTGCATTGGTCTCACAGTTCCTGCTGTGCCATGCTCGTCTCAGCTCAGGGCCCTGCCTTCCTGCCCTGTCTGTCTACAAACTCCTGCTCACTCTTAGTGCACACTCCAGTCGCAACCCACATGTCACTTATCCAGGGAAGTTTTTCCTGAGCCTTCAGGTGGGTGAGGTCCCATTTGTACACCTTTCTGTTGTACTGTGTACGCCTTTACAACATGTATCACACCTAGGATCATTGTCTTTTTCATTTCTGTAAGAGTGTTTGTTTTGGTACACTTTGTAGTCAGGAATGCTTGTCATGAGCTAGGGGCATGGCTCAAGTGCTAAAGCCCCTACCTAGGAACACCTTGGCATTTACTAGCTACTACTTTGGAGCTAACCTTCTTTGAACTCAGTATGTCCATCTGTAATGTTCAGGTTGTAGTGAAAGTTAAATGAGAAATAATGTTAAATGCACAGAATACCAGTGATGACTAACTAAGTCTTCATAAATAGAGCTGGTATTTTTTTAAGTTGAGGGTTGACGATTTTGACATAAATTTAATAATGTCATGCCACCACTGAACTGTAAGCTTTTGCTTCTCTGACTAGAGTTGATCATTGTTTTCTGATTCTGTAGTCTGTGACCAAATTAGTTCTATTATTTTTAAGTGAAATATTAGTATTTCCATTTTGAAACACAGAGCCAATCTTGCATTCCAAAAGTAATTTCACAGCAGCTGTTTTGCTTATGCAGTGAATTATATACCATCCTGAGATACCAAACCCAAAGATATTTATGAAGCTTTTTAAACCAAATATTTTGTTCTTTTTAGTAGCTAAAAGAAGGCAGTTTGCATTTATTAATAAATAGCATATTCAGAGTATGAGAAGTTGGTATAATTCAGTCATAGCCATGTATAGATTTGACTGTGTGGACACAGTGCCACTGAAGAAGTTACTAAGCTGTTGACAACAGTTACTATTTCATTAAAACAAATTCTTCAGTGTGTGGAATGATGATACTAATAGAAAATTTGCCCTTCGATCCTGATGTTTAATTTAAATCCGCATTTTGCATTATTTTAAGTCTTAAGTTTACAGAGTTATGAAAGTGAATTAGTCCCTTTAAGGCTTTTACTGTATTAAACTGTATTACTGTATTAAATGAATGTTTGCAATATGAGTGTATTAGCAAAGTGTAGACTACTTTGTTTTGATTACATGTAGATTATCTGTTTTTTAAAGAGACCTTACTTTTGGGGGATTCAAAATTATTATATTTATGAGTTGGTCACTTTTTAATAAATAGAGATCCAAACAACTTAACATTGTTATCTTCTTTTCATTAGAAGCAGCATTAAGAGGCCTTCTGGGAGCCTTGACCAGTACCCCGTATTCCCCTACCCAGCATCTAGAGCGAGAGCAGGCTCTTGCTAAACAGTTTGCAGAAATTCTTCATTTCACACTCCGATTTGATGAACTCAAGGTAGAATTTTCTCCTGGCCCTGATTGTTATAAATATGTGTTTCGTTGAGTCCTAGAAGAAAAAGCCTAGAAACTTGTTAAAACATTTTTAAATGATATCTTGCTAGACTTGAGCAAAAACATTCAGTCTTTGTTTTAAAAATCACTGAAAAAATATTGAGCTGCTTTTCTCACACTTTTCTGTTCATCCAGTTTTTTTCAGCCTTCTTTATAAAACTTCCTCTTTCTCTTCCACCACTTTCTCCCTTTCTCTTTTTTACTTCTCATTCTTTTATGGTAATTATAAGTTAACTGTAAATATCTTGTCACTAAAATATCTTGTCACTAACAGTGGTGAGTGTAAAGGAATAAGAATTTTATGTTGAGTGACCTGAGTTCTGCATTAATTTCAGGTACAAAATTAGAAAATTATGTAAGTACCTTTTAAGATTTTTGTTGTCTGCAAGGCACTGAGTTCAAACCTCAGTTTGACTTTCATTAAATTGTCTTCGGCTCTGGCACAGTAATCAGTTATGAGACCTTGGCTGGTCCTTTGTTTTTGAGGGCCTTTTGGATATCTTTTGCAGAAAATGGAAGAGTTGGATTCCTAACTTTGGCATTCCATGGTTGTGTCATAGGCATCTGTTACCTATTTTAATACTTTGAGCACAAATGATTTGTATATAATGTTTTAATCAGCTCAAGGATTGCCTTGATGACCACAAATATATAGTTTTATTCAAAACAAATGCTTCCACATTCCATCTTGGATTTGTTTGCTAACACTGAATTTTTTTCATAAATGGTAATATTTGGTAATAGTATATTACCTGAAATTATTGAAAAAAAGAAGGAAGGTATACTGCCCACAACTCAAAAACAATCTGTGTGACTTTATGTGTTTAGGAAGGACTGAGTATACCAGGTCAGTTCTTAAAATGAAATCAGAGAATGTTACATTACTAGTTTAAACTATATTTAGTAGATTCTTTACTTAATTTTTACACTAGCATTTGGTACATAACACATTTTTTATAAATGTCTTCTTTAGATGACAAATCCTGCCATACAAAATGATTTCAGCTATTATAGAAGAACATTGAGTCGTATGAGGATTAATAATGTCCCAGTAAGTTGATGCTTTGAATTGGGGGGGTGATAAGAATAACTCCACTCTCAATCTGATTATTTTATGCTTTTATTCATTCATTCATTCGCCCATTCATTCAGATGCTACAGCTAGTATTAGAGTTAGTAATTACAGACAACCATAGATATGGGGGAGAGAGCAAACTGTAGCAAACCATGTAAGTGTTTATCTATTTTTCTTCTCAGTCTTTAATTCCTGTGTTTCAATAAAATTGCTTTTTGTCTGTATAACGTTGATACTGTCTTTCCCTATATACTCTCATTTTAACTCTACAGAAAGTTTTGTTTTGTTTTGCTTTGTCCCTATGTTCTTAGAATGAACAAATCTGGGAGAGAAATGATCTTGGTGGCAGAAGGGAAGAGTGAGGTCATGGACTGTTAGCGCACCTGTGCCTGATTGTGGCTGATGAGAAGGTGGCTTCTGGGCATGTTTCTTAGTTAGCATAGCTTCTCTTTAGGTTTCTTTGGGCCTGATAATCTGTTGTCATTATTCTTTTAAGCTGTTCAGTACTTTTTTTTCTATCTCTGACAAGTTAAGTACCATAATAAGTAAAGCCTTAGATATGAAGAAACAGTTACCTTCTCTGTGTGTTTTGAGACCTACCTTGTGCTAATTGGTGTGTAAACTAGATAAATTTCAAAAATCAACCCTAGCCTCAATTAGGTAGTTTAATAGAGAAATACTGGAACTTTGTAAGGAGTAATAGAAGAGATTTTTTTTAATTCCAGTAAAATTTAAATTTTTTTATTGAAATAATAGTTAAGAAGTAGTTGTAGAACAGGCACTGGGCATGGAAGTAAAGATTTCTCTTCCATGAAATATGTTATTTACATCAGTTTGGTCTTACATAGACTAGTTCTTAGTGTGAAACTGATTGTATTATTTGTCTTTCTAATACCCACCATGTAAAATAAAAACAGAATGCCCAATCTGTTACTATACATCTTTGCCATCATTCAAAGGCCAAAGACATTAGAAATATCTTTGTGCTGTCTTTCACTCTCACTAATTATAGGTAAAGCCTATAGTTCTCAAGTGAGATATTTCTCAAATTTCTTCTCCATTCCCCCATTCATCTCCTACTTCTATCCTAGTGGAGAACCAATTCCCACTCTCTTTGGGGCATTCTATAAAAGCATAACTTATTTTCTGACTTAGAGGCTTCCTCCTTTTCATTGTAGTCCACCTACTATCATGGGTTAGCTTTCCTTAGAAATTTGAGGTTTTTTTTTTTTTTTTTTCCTCTTGTAACACTAAATGCTTCTCCATTCCATTTGGAAGGAAAATACGAACTTAAACTAGCATTTATGGCATTTTACAGTCTGTCTCCAACTTTATCTCCGCTAGTTGCTGTCCCCCATTACACTGAATATGGTGAGATGTCAAATGACTAGTAAGTCATTTGAAAGCATGCTTTTTCCCTGCCAAGTAGGAATACTTTGTTCTCCTGCCCATCATCACCTGTAAAAACCTGACTTTTCCATGAATCCTTGTTAATTTCTCCTAGTCTGACTTAGTCTTTTTCTCACTCCTTTTTCTGTCATTGCTTATTAGCATTTTATTGTGGTATTGTCTGGATACTTGTGTGTTCTTAATAAGGGATAGGATATAATTGTCTTCTGCATTTGTAACAGTCACTTGTATAATAGGAAGGTTTTACTTAATTTCATTAAAACTTAAATATTTAGGGGCTAATCTATTTAAAGTATTACGTGCACATGAGGATCTAAAATATAAGTTGTTAAGGGTATTAGATTAGTTTAATGAGGTAGGTACTCTGCCTTGATCCTTATAAATATTATCACATTTAATAATTTATGAACTAATAGCAAGTTCTCTTTCTACATAGGCAGAAGGAGAAAATGAAGTAAATAATGAATTGGCAAATCGAATGTCTTTGTTCTATGCTGAGGCAACCCCAATGCTAAAAACCTTAAGTGATGCTACAACAAAATTTGTATCAGAGGTAAGTATTGCCTAGGAAGTTATTCTATGCATTGGTTCTCTTTCACTGTTGCAGACATGATGATGTCAGCAAGTTCCATGACTTCACCATATTCAGCCTGGCACCCCAAATGTATATGATGAATCTTAGCCTTTCCCTGAGACCCACATATGCACACCTAACCCACCTATTTGCAGTCTCTCTCTGAAGGTACTGTCAACCCTGAAGTGATCACATGGTCTCCCTAAATTCTCGATTGTCTTTTCCAACCCTCCTCTTAGTCTAGTCTTTCTCAATTAATAATACCATTGTATGAGCAAAAAATTTAGGGATTATCATTTTAAATTTCTTTCTTCCCTCTCCAGATCTCTTCCATCAGCATGTAATTGGTGCTCTAAAATACATCATGAATCTGAAAATTTAACCCCTACTCCTGCTACCTGTCCAGATCAGACCACTGCTCTCTCACCTGGATTACTGTGTTCATGTTCCCACTGTTCTTAATTCTTGCTCCACTATAGCCCTTTCTCCAATGGAGCAGCCAGTAAATCTTCTTAAAATATAACTAATTTCTCCTTTCTTAGGTTGAAATATTTTCATTAGTTTTCTAGTACCCTTAGGATAAAACCTAAATCAAGGCTCCATACCCCTGACCTGTATCTATATGGTTATGTTTGTTCTCACCTAGCTTACTGTAAGCACTTTTCAGGACTGTAGGGTCTTGGCTGTTTTGTGTATAGATATTGCTAGAGTTTAGAACAGAGCTTAGAATCTAGGACATTATTTAGAAAATTAAGAGTAGGAGCTGGACTATAAAGTTGCTAACTTCTTATATTCTAAATTTTGAATTATTTTCAGGTAATAACTTTGTGTTATTTTTCCTGCTTTGTTCTCTCTACACTTGCAGAATAAAAATTTACCAATAGAAAATACCACAGATTGTTTAAGCACCATGGCTAGTGTATGCAGAGTCATGCTGGAGACTCCGTGAGTATTACCTGATCTTTTTCACCTTAGCAATACTAGTGAGATTGATTCATACTGCAAAATACACCCAAATATAAACATGTTTTATTTGGAAGGATTAAGTATATTCCATCTATCAAGTATGATGTATGAACAAATTAATATATTTTGGTAACTTCAAGTACCTCCTCGGGAAAACACAGAGTTAATTTCCAGATATCTCGACCAGTGACTAACTTACTACCGTCCTCAGAAGGCGAATTGTGTGGTGTTTGGCAGAGGTGGGGCCAGGAAGCGCTTTAGTTAAATATTCTTTCTCCCTTTTTAATAAAGAAGTTTTCCTTTTTTGCCAGTTCTTAAATTATTCTTCTGTTAATCCCGTCCCCAGTATTCTACTTTTTGTTCTTTCTTTTTTTCCTCTCACACAAACCTGAATTCTCTTCTGAGTTTCTCTTCTTTCTAAAGCATTTGTGATGTGTGCAACCCATGTGTGCTGCTGGACTTGCCCATCAGCAAGCAGAACGAATCCTTCATGGGTTCTTGAATAAGATAAGGCTTTTGTTAGGTAATTTCTGATTTTGTGGCAGTTTAATCTTATTGGAAAACCTCATGAAGCAGGAAGGCAGCTCTCCTCCCTCTCCTCCTTCCCATCCTCCACTCATTCCTCCTCCTCCTCTTCCTCATGTAAAGGAATGAGGTCCTGGGAAATGAAGAGACTTATACGCAATGACCAACCCTACCCACAGGTCCAGTGTCCCTGTCCTTGATGTGGACTCTTAACTGTTCTGCCACATTGCCTTCTATGTAAATAAAAGTTCTATTTCCTTTTTTCTTATATGAGAGAAAAATATGATTGAATTTTACTAAAATTCAAATCCAGTAATACAATAATGTGCTTAGATCAAGGTTGCACCTAAATGGCAAACCTACTTGCTCTATTAAGCTGCTAACTTTTTTCATCATATTGATAGCAATAGCAGTTACATAGTACCTGTCCCAAATTTTTACTTCATGCTACTTTTGATTTCTCTAAAACTGTAGCTCTCTGTTAAGTAGAAGAGGTGCAAATAGAAACCAGAATGTGTGGGTGGTAACTGCTCTACCAGTGCCATCTCATCTCTCTGGGAACTCATTGTGGAGAAGAATGCATAATGTTAGCATCCCTTTTAGAGATTTAAGGGGTAAGTCATATCATTTCATTAGAGAGTTTTGTGATGTGCTTCATCCATCCACATCTTTTCTGTCCTCCAGGGAATACAGAAGCAGATTTACAAATGAAGAGACAGTGTCATTCTGCTTGAGGGTAATGGTGGGTGTCATAATACTCTATGACCATGTACATCCAGTGGGAGCATTTGCCAAAACTTCCAAAATTGATGTAAGTTACGTGTTGTTTTATATAATTCCAAACCATTATCTTACGTGAAAATCATAAGCCTTTGTTTTATTAAAGAGCTAATAGCTGGATTGTCACATAACTCCAGTTGTTGTTTGTGATTCTGGTAGCTTTTTATCTTTGCTTCTTTCTTTCCTATTTCTGGTAGCCTATACAGATGGAAATAAGTGATTGAGGGATGACCGTATTGTCTGTAGAGTGTCTCCTTAAAGGGTCTTTCTACATATTTGGCAATATAAATAGGTAATTACATAAAATTTCTAATCATGTCCTTTAATTTCCTTGGGCAGTACCACTTTAAAGAAAAGGTTATTTCAAAGTATATACAGAATGTCAGTAGTGGGGCTCTAATGGGAAAGAAGATTTTGAATTGGATTTACCGATTCATAATAATTGGTGACTATAGCCAGTTTTCTACTTTGCTTTTCTCTCTGAAAGTTGTTTTTTTTTTTTTTTTAAGAAATGAAATAGTTTTCTGGTTTCTTTATTTTATAGTTTCTCTCTCACCACTTTCTCACACTCAGCATTCTAATGAGTGGCGATAATTGTCTGCTAATTTCCCTTTCATTATAGTTCAGGCTCTAAGCATTTTGGATCTTTTTGATTATGGATTACTTGCCAGTCTTATGAACATGCATTTTATGTAATGAAGAACGAGTAAACATTTACAGAGTGATTACCGTGTCCCAGGAATTTCTCCCATGTGCCTGTGAAAATACTAGGATATAGTTGTTACCTGCCTTTCACTAACAGAGCAACTGGAACTTAGGAAATTGAGTAATAGAATTGCTAGAAATGGTTCAGGAGACGATTAAGTCCATGTCTCTCTGTGTTCTTCTGTGCTGTGTTTTTCCACAGCAACCAGTCTAATCTTCCTGAAATACTATCTTCATTGAATTCTTCCCTTTTTCAGTCACCAGAAGCAAGTCCCTGCTGCCTGCTGGTCAGAGCTCTGCAGGATTCTGCCTATCTTCTGCTTGTCAGGGGCTGCTTCTACCTGGGAAGTTCCTTTTCTCCTGGGAGCAGATTCATTTTATTCTTTTAAGTTGCTACTTAGTATCTTTTCTGAGACTCTTTCTCTAATCAGTCCCCCACCCCCCTGCAAGTATGGGTGGTACTTTAGTCTGACTAATTTGATTCAGTGATAAGCTGAAAATTATACCACTGAAGTAAGTTTTTTTTCTTCTAACAATGCATTATTATTTGACATTTCTAGTATAAAATCCCTGAAGTTCTGTAATATGTTCCTGATTTAAGTTTACTATTTTGAAAATGAATGTTTAGGGCTGGGGGCATGGTTCAAATGGTTGAACGCCTGTCTAGTCAGCACAGGCCCTGAGTTCAAATCATAGTATCACACAAAAAAAGTGTTATATGAAAAACAGATATTTTACTTTTTCTGTTTTCTTTTCTCCTTAGATGAAAGGTTGTATCAAAGTTCTTAAGGACCAACCTCCTAATAGTGTAGAAGGTCTTCTAAATGCTCTCAGGTGGGTATATGTGCACGAACCTGTATATAAAAGAAATACATAAGGAAATGTTTGGTATGTATGTGGTAATAAAATGCTACAAATTGTGAATAGCACCTAAAAAATATGAAGGTAACTGTTCAAGCTGCAATGGGAAGGTCTCAACTTCCTAGAGTATTTACAGTGTCCTTCAGTAAGGAATGTGTGAGCAAGTAAGAATAGCACTTTATTTCTTACTGCAAGGTTTTGGCTTTCACTTTTTACCCTTTTGGTTGTTTTTCATTTGTTTTTTAATAAAAGTAATAAGTGCTGATTGTAAACAAAATTGTGAAAACATAGGAGAATTTAAAGATAAATTGTGTAATCTCACCATGTAGAGGTAAACCACTATTAACATTTTGGTATGTGACCTTCCAGTGGTTTTTCTTTATATATGTAGATGACCAGCTATTGCTCTGTTATGATAGTCGTCTTTTTATAAAACAGCACCATACAAAGTGTTTTGTAAGTAACTAGCTCTTTTCAATGTAGTGTAACTATATTTCTGTGTTCATCAGTACAAATCTATCTTATTTTTGTATATATCATGTAATGAAGGTAAAATGATCACCCATTATTTGATGTATTTTCTTCGGTTAGTCTTACTTGATTTAGTTATGAAACTCCTAAGAATGCTGGAATCTTTTTTAAACAAAAATCTTAGTATCTTTGACTGTCCTGAGGTCTCCCCACCCTCCCCTTTGGTGGGACTGGGATTTAAACTCAGGGCTTTGTGCTTGCAAAGCAGGCACTCTACTGCTTGAACTGCAGCTGCAGTCCATTTTGTTCTGGTTATTTTGGAGATAGGATCTCAAGAACTATTTGCCCAGGCTGGCTTTAAATTTTGATTCTCTCAATCTCATCCTCCCAAGTAGCTAGGATTACAGGTGTCAACCTCTGGTGCCTGGCTAGTACTGACATTTGAACTCCAGACTTCATATTTGCTAGACAGGCACTCTACCTTTTGAGCCTCACCCCAAGTCCTTTTTTGCTTTAGTTATTTTTCAGGTAGAGTCTTGCCTTTTTGCCTAGGCCAGCCTTTGAACCTACCTATGCCTCCCAGGTAGCCTGGATTACAGGCGGCACATACTACCATATCTGTCTTGTTGGTTGAAATAGGGTCTTCTAACTTTTTGTCTTGACTAGCCTCAAACTATGATCCTCCCAATCTCTGCCTTCTGAGTAGCTGGGATTAAAGGCATGAACCACCACACTAAGCCAACACTTTAATTTTGACACACAGATTTAACTGATAGTATAATTTTCCTGATCTAAAAGATGATTTCCCATTGCCTAATTATTTCTGTTTTAAATACAAAAATAATATGCACACAGAAATATTTACATAGTGATGTTTCCATTATAAAGCAAGATATAATCTGTGTCATTTCAGCTGAATGAAATCTTCAAATGATTTTATTATGAAAAGTGCTGTATAAGAAGTGACTGCCTGAATAAATGAGATCTGTTCTAAATGAACATTGGAAAGTTTTCGTTCCAAATGCATAATGGAAATGAGAAAATAAAATCTTGTAGTGAAGTCAACTCTTGAAATGTTTGGTCATAGTGAGCGTGCGAGAACACAGCTAATTAACTATGCCATTGTGGCAAGAAGTTAACCAGAGATAATGCACAAATTAGCTACATTGGTATATTCAAATACAACTTTTATTTGTAAACATTTAAATTTGGATTTCATAGAATTTCCACGTTAACACCAAATATTATTATTCTTTTGACCCTGTTGATCCACCCCGCCATCCAGAGTGTTGTAGAGAAAGGTATATATGCTTAGCCACAGGCCATACAACAATAGGTTGTTGGTTGGATTTGACCTGTGGGCCATAATTTGTCAACCTCTGAAGTAGAATAGTTATTTTCCTCAGAGTGAGGAGTAGCTAACTATTTGTCTGAGAGGATAGCCAGTCATCTCAACAAGGTGGTGTGACCAAGTGAAGCAGGGATTAGCTGTTCTGTTGTTAGATGGAGGGAGGAGACGCTGCAACAAAAAGGCATTGTTCTGTGAGAGATTTGCCTGACCTCATCTTGCCCATAATTACAGAATCTGATGGAGACGGTTTTTAATTCCCTGAAATGGATCCGTTTTTCCCTTAGGTACACAACAAAACATTTGAATGATGAGACTACCTCCAAGCAAATTAAATCCATGCTGCAATAACAGTTCTGGAGTCAGCGTCTGCTGCAGACTGAAGACAGTATTCTGCAATGACTGAGAATGCACAGTTTTTTAGTGATTGCAATTACTATCTCATTTATTCTTGCTTTCATTTCTTTTCTCTGTTCCTCTTCCCACTTTTTTAATCATGTTCTTGTTCTTAAGACTTCTTTTCTGTGCCAAAATCAGTAAAGTTCTACTCTGAAGGGAGATTGTCCTTTCAAACAGGCCATCTAAGGCAGCTAATTATGCATTGCATTGGAGTCTCTACTGAGAAAAAAATCTGTGACTTGAACTAAATATTTTTAAATGTGGATTTTTTTTGAAAAACTAATATTTAATATTGCTTCTCCTGCATGGCAAAACTGCCTATTCTGCTATTTAAAAGCCCTCAATGACTTTATTTTCTACTGCCGCTTTTTTCATGTGCAGCCAAAATGAAAATGTTTAAATTAACTGTGTTGTACAAATGGTACCCAACACAAACTTTTTTTAAATTAGTAAGACTTTTGTTTAAAGGTTTAAGTTTGCATTTTGACTTTTTTTGTAAGGATGTATGTTGTGTGTTTAACCTTTATTAACTAACGTTTAAAACTGTGATGTGTGCGTAGAATATTACGTATGCATGTTCATGTTTAAAGAATGGCTGTTGATAAAATAAAAATCAGCTTTCCTTTTTCTAAGTGTGGCTTGGTTTACTGAGGTTTTGTTTTTAGGCTTCTGAAGTTTTCCCTGTGTATATTGTTATGGAATGAATATACACATTACATTATTTTCTTTATTTTAGCAGCTAGCTGGGTCTTTTCAGTTGTATGTTTCATCATTTTCTATGTACATAATCTTAATTGCTTTTAAATCTTTGCTGTGTATGATAAGTCCAGTGATCGTGTTATTAACTTCTATTCTGATGTATTCTTCTACGGACATAGTAACTGATGGAAAACCACATGTGCTTGATTCCCATTCAGCAGTGAGAGGGCAGCAACACGAGCAAGGGGTGTGGCAGGAAGAGGAGCCCTTGACATTGGAGGAGAGTGAATATAAGAGGGACTTCCCAGGAGGAAATTGAAGACTATGATCTCACTAGTCGTAGGAAACTAACAGGGTTTTAGTTTAAGGTCATAAGGCTGAAATCATGAAATTTAAATCTCATGGTTGTGAGAAGCCCCTTGAATGCCAGTGGTTTAGTGACAAGAGTATCTGAGGTGTGGTAGAGAGTCACAGAGGCTTTCCATCAAGACCTTCTGAGCCGTTCATGATTGAATCTCTGCTGACTTCTCTGGCCTCCTGCTCACTGCTCTCCGACTTCGCATCCTGTTCTCCAGTCAAGTTCAACTACTTGCAGTTTACAGGTCATTCTGTGCAATGTTGCTTTATAACTCTGCTCTGGCTGGAACCTGAACTTGACTTCTCCTTTCTCCCTCTTGTCCATCTGACCAACAGTAACTATCATCTTTTAAGGATCAGCTTTCTGGATAATGTTGACCCTGTCTTCTAGGCATCTTCTAAGAGTATCTTTATGGTTTGAATAGTGGGTCCCAAAAGATATGTCTTATCTGGAACCTGCAAATCTGACCTCATTTGATAAAAGGGTATGTGCAGATGAAATTAAGGACCTATAGATGACATCATCTTGGATTAGGATGGACCCTAAATACAATGACATTCCTTAGAGAAAAGAAGGAGCAACACAAAGAGTGGAGGCCAAGAGTGTGGAGGCAGACTTGCAATATTCTACAAGCCAAGGGTGTCTGAAAATTCTTGGGCCAAAGAAGTTAGTAGGAGAGTCGTGGAACAGCCTTCCTCAGAGCCTCCAGAAGAAACCAACCCTGCTAATATTTTGATTCAGACTTCTATCGTCTAGGATGGTGAAAAATGAATTTCTGTTTTAAGCCACCTCGTTTGTGGTGATTTATTGTAGCTGTCCTAAGAATCTAATACAACTGTCTCATAAAACACCCCTGATATTTAACTGCACTTTTGGATCTCTTTCCTGATACTGTGAGAAGCAAAGTGTCTGGATGCTGAGATGACTACATGAGAACTTGAGTGAAGAGACAGGCTTTGATTTTCCTTCAATATCCCGAGGAAGGACCTTGTACAGTATCCAGATTGGAATAGATGCCAAGTGAGTGCTTGAGTGGAAGGAGTGAATACAAATAAAAGAAGTAATGATTCTGCTGAAATGGATGTAGTAATACTGCTATGGCCTGTTGAGGTGACATCGGTTCATGCTCGCATGTCGAAGAGTGTGTGGATAGCCAGGGGTCAGCAAACCAATCTGCAGGCCAGTCTACCACCATCTGTTTCTACACATCCTATGAACTTAAGAATGGTTTTTAAAAGGTTGAAGAAAATCAAAAGAATAACAAATGTTTTTTAAAAGGTTGAAAAAAATATTTTGTAGCATGAGCAAAGTATATGAGACTCAAATTCCAATGTTCATAAATAAAATTTTATTGAACATAACCTCACTCATTTGTTTACATATTATTTATGGTTACTTTCTCATTGTAGTGGCAGAATTGAATTGTGACAGAGGCCATAATGTTTGCTCTAAACATTGTCCGACTACAGAATTTGGCTGTCCCTGCCCTAGTTAACAAGAGCAGGTCTGTTTGAATCTGTAGTCATGGAAGTAGCACTGCAGTGTAAATAGAAGGAGCCGCCTCTGCTGCCAGGGGTGGGCTCAATTTCAGGTCTGATGTTTGTTGTTCAGATAGTCAAAGAAAGTAGACATCTTCTCTCCTGCTAAATCTGACCTCTGCTCCTGTGTCTGCCCTCCAAATGAAGGATTCTGGGGCTGGGTACAGGCTTATTAGTAAAGAGGATCTGTTAGGGTTTTCTTTGCCCACTGGAGGGATGTTGGTGCCATTCTGCTTTATGTAAATCTCTCCAAGCTGGCCTCTTTTTATCCCCTTGTACTTTTATAAAGCGCATCTCTGTTTGTGTATCCCTGCTCATCCTGTTTCTGGCCCTGGCCTTTTCACGGTAGTAAATAAGCCATTGCATCATTTCTTCTGCCCACCATACTCTTGACTGTCTTTCCCAGTGCCCATTTTTGCAGCCCTCAATATGGATAAGAGACACTTTCCAATAGACACTTTCCAATTGGCTGATTCTTAGCTTTATAAAGACTGATTAAAAGGCATTCTGCACTACTTAAAGATTGCCCAAAGTATTTTAGACTTGTCTTAAGAATAATTGGCATTTTTACTTAAGTGTAGATCTTTTCACTTGAAATTCCATACTGGTTCCATTTAAGATTTCAGTAACTGCCACTCCAGAAATTCTTAGAATCTCTTACAGAGCATATTTACAACAAAATAAAATCTTCAGAATAAAATACAATTATAGAAGATGTAGTGGGAAGATCTATGGTTGAGGAGTCTTCAGACACTAGCATGTTACTACTCTTAACATTGTACTGTCTGCAAAGGCAATGATAGTGTGAATAGTTAAAAACCAGGCTTTCGTCATTGGGCTTGTGTATTCTGGCCTCCTCTAATTGAGTGACTTAGTCTTCTGTCCTTATAAAACGGAATACCCAAAATACATTTCCAAGGTGGCTGCTAGTTAATGCTGTTAATGCCCTATGCATCCTGGAAGGATAATTCTGATCCTCCTTACTTTAACTGTAGTCAGTTTCAGCTGTGTCCATCATGTAGTTGATGAAATAGTTCTAACTACATAATAGGGTGCTAGATGATGCTTCACAATCTTAATGCTTTACAGGTCCTATAACTGATTAACTGTGATAGCACTAGTGTCGCAAAAGGACAGGCACATTGCCTGTGCCTGCATATTTAGAACTAAAACTTGTTACAATTACTTCTTAAATTTTTTGCTGTACTAGGAAATTGAGCAAGGCTTGCTAGGCAAGCACTCTACCACTGAGCTACATCCTCAGGCCAAACAATTGTTTTAAACATCAAGCTCCAGGTTCACAAGCAATCTTTAGGTTAATAGTAAGGACCTATTTGTAGCCACAGATAGCCTGAGCCCTAGGAGGGCTGAGAACCTGCAGTTTTCCTGAGTATACAGGGAGAACATTCTGGACCAGAAATACATTCTCCAGTGTCTGTTTTGAATTTTCTGTTGACAAAAATCCTGGATATTTCAAGTACTTTATAATTCCCAAAGATAAAACCATGAGGTAGGAAACATAGTATGGCTCTGGTAAGTCATATATGCTCGGGCCACTTCTAGGTAACTGCTGTGGAGTTAGTGTGCCTTGCAGTGCCTCCTGAAGTGGATGGTATGCCAAGTTGTCAAGGTTTCGCATCTGGATGTTAGCTGTGGCTCTGTAGATGTAAAACGTGGGTGAGTCCACTGTGTATTTGGCATACAAAGCAACCTTTTCCTATCTCTTTGATGCGCAACCCTGTAAGGCTGTGTCTCTTTGAATATGCAGTTTTCTTTCTGGTCTTCCTGAGCTCCATTCCCACCCCAGCCCCTGCCTGGGGAAGTAAAACTGTTGGATCAGTTTGCTTGACAGCAATCCTAAGGATGCTGTTTTCCTGTTACCAACTTTGGGCAGTTCCATCTGAACATCCCTCGCATTTGGAATTAAAGTGATTATGTGGTTTCTATTAAACACCTGCTTCCCCCCACCCACTGGGTGCTCAGTTCCCTAAAAATGGGTTGTCTGTTCCCTGTACTGTTGTATTCCTAGTGTCTTGAGGTCACATCACTATATTATATGGTACCGTGGAAGGTGCCAAATGCTCTGGGAAAGCTCAGATTGGGAGAGGCAGTTTGCAGTTTAACAAGGTGTAATAAAAGTACATGTGAACCAAGACAGGAAGGAGGAAAAGCAGTTAACAGGTAGGGACCCTGAGAATTCCTTCTACAAAGAGCTGAAAGCACCATGTTGGAGCTGCAGAAGGCCAGTGGGGCTGGAGCAGAGGGGAGGGGTCAGATCACTTAAAGCCATCCAGGCCACCTGGAAACTGACTATAGCTCTGAGGCAAACTCTGTTGCTTAGAGCAAACAAGTGACATGATCTGATCTGTTTGAGAAGCTTCATTCCAAATAGAGACCAGTTAAGCAGTTGCTGGATTTGAGACAATAAAAGGATGGCAGGTTGTTGCAATGGCCATGATGAGAAGTGACCACAACAAGCTTCCCAGCAGGCTGTATGTGAACTTGTGGGGTGGAGAATAAACGTAGCTTTTGGTCTGAGTACCTGGGAGGATGGATGATGAAGAGAGGCAGAATTATAGCAGACTTTGCAGGAGTGGGGAGGTTATTTCCAGGTTCAGGTGGTACTGCCCTCTTTACTTAGTCGAGGGCATCTGCCTGCAGAAGCATTGGTGAGACTGGTGTGGGAGAATTTCTCCAGACCGCATTTAGTAGTGAGACTGGGAGGAGAGAGGGACATGGCGGACCTACAACTGGACAGCCCAGTGCAAGGAAGACACTACTGTACCAATTCTAGCCCCCTTTCTGCCCTTGACTGATTTCCTGGGGCCTCATCTTCCTTATCTCTGTGTAGTAAATCCCCCAAGTCTCATTTCTACCTGCAAAAACTGCTGAGGCAATACCAGCTTCCAGGCTCTGCTCTGTCTGCTTTGGGGAGGCCCAGGGAGGGAAGAGCTGTAAGAAGTGTCCAAAGGAAGACAAGATTCCTATACAATGAGGAATGTCTGCTTCTTTGCAGTCCTAGTGGCTGCAGGGCAGCTCACCTAAACTGCCTCTTCTTGCCGCAAGTTAGCACCTCCTGGAGACTCTGCCTTACTGCTAGAAGGGAATTGGACAAGGGCTGTCCTGTGAGCAACTTCCTAGTAGGTCCTACTGAGACAAGAAGACATGTCTGTTTTTGAAGTGCCATTGTCTGTAGGCATGCTACACATCAGTAAACTGGGTTCCTTTTAAATTACAGTGTTGGTCTCACTATTTTTTTTTTGTAGTACTGGGATTTGAACTCAGGGCCTACACCTTGAGCCACTCCACCAGCCCTTATGTGATTTTTTTTTTTTTGAGATAGGGTCTTGCAGAACTATTTGCCTGGGCTGGCTTTGAATCATAATCCTCTTAATCTCTGCCTCTTGCGTAGCTACTAGGATTATAGGCATGAGTCACTAGCACCCAGCTTCACTGTACTTCCTAATTAAAACATAGGGGTCCCTGAGCACATAGGAGCAATGTGCAATTAGAGACTTGATTGAGTTGATGGATTAGACAACCAAAGACAATAGAGAGTGGAAACTTCTTTCTACCCCACAAGGAAGAGCCCATGCCAAGGCCATCTGGAAAGACAGAGGTGCTGAGGTCTAATGGAAGTGTGACGTGGTGCATCTCTTTCCAGAGGAGCTTTCCAGCTGTGGTAGAAGGTCTGCAAAGATTTCCTTGCCTAAAATCGTTTTCATTTTGCAGTGCATAATTTGCTGACATACATGCAGTATATCACGTTTTTAACCAGCAAGTTTATGTATATCTGTATCTCCAAGTTTTTCTGCAAGATAGTTCATATGTAAGAATAGGACTGAAAGATAAACATCCAAATGTCAATACTGATTACTTCTGGGGCAATAATTATGGAAATTAAAGTATTTTTAGGTTGGGGATGTAGCTCAGTGGTAGAGATCTTGCTTAGAATGTCTAAGGCCTTGGATTCACTCCTCAGAACTGCAAAAAAAAAAATTCATTTATGAAAGTATTTTCTTAACAATAGCTATTGTTTGGTCATTAACTAAGTTTTACCACTAGAAACATTAGAAAAGATCCTGCTCAGAGTGGGCAACACCAGGTAATCTCTGCCTTGAGACTGTTGTCTTAGGTTTACTTCTGTCCTATGTGCTATGCCAAGAAGAAGAAAAGAGCACAAAACTCAGATTGGGGAGGTGTGGCGATGGTCCTAGCCTGCTGGCTGCACACATCCTCTGGCTTTTCCCCAACACACATACACACATACACGCACACACACATACACATAGCTTTTTTGGGAAATGTGAGTTTTACCAGAAAATCCCTATCACAGAAGAAATCTAGGTGCTGGGTGGCCCCCATCCAGTTCACATCAGAAGGAAGGCTGTTCTACAGGCAAGGGCCCAGCCTCTGGTCACATGATGAGGATTCACTTCCTGACCACTCCATAGACTCCCTGAAGGATGCAGGTGGGCAAGAACTGAACAGTTCAATCCATCTCTTGTTACAGATGGGAAAACTGAAGCCAAATGAGAGCTAAAGGTGCAACGGAGGGCAGCTTTTCCAAGTCCCCTGGTACCCTGGAGAGCAGCTTCCTTCAGCAAGATTGGTGTTATTATTCATGTCAACATCAAACAATAAAAGCCAATGGCCAGGCACTCTTTAAGCACTTTATGTGCAATTTAAGACTCCCTAATGTGGGAAGAAGGTCTGCCAGGTCCTGGCATCTCTGGTGCCATCTTTCCTGGATTGTGTTGCCCTGGAACTGCTTGGGTCTTGGGCAAATTGCTGCCCTCCCTCTTCCAACTCCACTTTGGCCCTCAGTTTCCCTGAAACAGTCCATTTAGAGTGGGTGTTAAGCTTCACTTCACAGAGGGCTTTCATGTGCACAAGCTGCTGTCAGTAGCCTTAGGAGTAGTGATTAATCAGCATTCAGTGAGATCTGGCCAAGCCTGCTCCTGTTAATGCAGAACCTGTAATCCTAGCTACTTGGGAGGCTGAGATTGGGAGGATTGCAATTCAAGGCCAGCCCAGGCAAATAGTTTCTGAGACCCTCAACTCCAAAAATAACCAGAGAAAAATGGACTAGAGGTGTGGCTCAAGTAGAAGAGTGCCTGCTTTGCAAACACTAAACCCTGAGTTCAAATCCCAGTCCCACAAAAAAAAAATGGGAGTGCAATGGAAGATCAAATGGAAGTGCAAAAAGGATCAAATTGTAGGTATATGCCTTCCCACACCCAGGTAGCCACTGTGCAGTCCCCAAACCATTTTGGGATAGTCAGAGGACAGGGGCTCAGTTTTGTGCCACCTAGTAACTCCACTTTATTAAATAGTAAAACCCCAGGCCCCAACAGCTTCCATGTAGTCAGTCCTCACCTGAGCTCCTGACTCGTATCTTGATGTCACTTTTGCTTTGCTACCAAATCACTCTTTATCATTTTCCTGCTGTTTCTGGTTCTTTTGCCTCACCTTAGGCATTGTACCCAAGAGCCACAGAACACCTGGAATACCCCAACAATTGTAACAGTGCCATAGCATCCAAGGAGAAGATGGTTCCCGGGATGGAATAGCCATACCCCTGTATGAGTGTCCTTTGGGAGTACACTCACTGGAGCATGGCATGTCAGGAAGGAAGTGAGGAATGTGGCTGAGAGGGGAAGAGGGAGACAGGAGGGAAACTGGAGGGGGCATGGGATGAGGGAGTTCATAGGTGGCAGAGACTTGAACTTGCCAGGTCAGGGAAGGAGGCAAGTGAACCAGAGGGACTAAATTGGTGTCAGTCACCTGTCACAACTGCTGGATATGTATCTCCTTTCCTCACACCAGTTCAGGAGAGGTCTCATTTCACAGATGAGAAGGCTGGGTAAAGATAAATAGAAATTAAAAGTAAGACTAGTTCTCCCACTTGAAAATAAGGGAAGAGAGTTCCCTGGCCTTCTTTTTCTTAACACATTAAAAAAAAAAAAACTTGTAAGAACTTTCTCCTTACCTTACAATGTACATAAATTCTTCTGAATTTGTTAAATGGATAGGTCATGTAACAGCTTGAGGACCCAGAAGTGTCTTTCTGAAGGACCTGAGCCTTCTCTCTCTTTAAAATGTCACACAAGAGGAGAGATCCAAGATGGCGACTAGGGTGCAGAAGCAGACAGCGTGAGCTCCGAGACTCCAAAACCTCACTGAGACGCTGGAGCCACACTTGTTAGAAATAAAGCAGCAAAGAGAATCAAACCTTCAACATCTTGAACCCCTAGCCTGTGGAAAGCTTCTCCATGCCATGTTGCACTGAGAAAACAGGACTGCTGTGCTGCCAGATGCTGGTTCCAAACCTGCTTGGGAGACACTTGGCAGAACAACAGGTGAGCACCAAGCATCACACAGTTTTCCCCCAGCCATCCCTAGGATAAACCCACATAGCCTCCTGGACAGACTGACCCTTCCCTGAAAAAAAACAAAACAAAACAACAACTGAATGATAAACAAGGAACTGAAAACTACCACACAGCAGAGGGGGCGGGGTGCTGTAAGCACACCAGAGAAGGGGGGAGGAGCAAGGAGCTGATCTCAACGTGAACTTTCAGTAAACAAAGGCTGGAAATGCAGAAGGGCTGACAGTGGGCGGCTGATAAGCTGCTGCCTGAAATAGGGCAGGTAGCATTCCACAAAGCTCATCTCCTGAGCCAGTGAGCAACACCCAAAGTCAAACGACACTGCAAAATTGAGAAACAGTCAGCAAACCATCACAACATGCTGACAGCAAGTGGTCAGCTGCTGGATCACTGACCTAGCCCCAGAGTAATGGTGTGAGGCAAAGAAACAAAGACCCCAGTGGTTTGTTGTTAGTTTTACAACAGTGAAAACCCAACTCCAAAGCAGGACAGCTAGTGGGCTACAGAGCTGATTCTGGAATCTGAGGACAACATGCAAACTTAAGCTGCCACACCCCACTGAGGGAGGAGCTGACCAAGCAGCTGCCTCTGAAAGACAGAAAAACAAAACAAAAAAATCCCCACTACCCAACCACCTGGTGAGACTGACAGCTTCTGCTTAAATACCAACACTAGGATTCCAGGATGCTGGAGGACTAACACCAGAATTCAAACTAAGACTGAAATTCTGTTGTTCCTGAACCTGGAATTTTTTGTTTGTCAGTTGGTTCTGTTTCTTGTTTGTTTGTTCATTTCTCCACATTGATTTCTTTGGGGTTTTGGTTTTGTTGTTAGTTTTACGATTGTGAATTAGCAAATACTAAATTGCACCCAGACCAGGGAGAGAAACAACACATACACACATAGCTACAAACCCAGTACAGCCACAAAACAAAATTAAACCAAGGGAAAGAAAGCAGGTGACTGAAACCACCAATTAGCCTATCAAGAACATAGTTCCACAGTACCAAGTGGAGCGATGGGAAGACAAAAAAGGGATGGAAACCATTCTCCTCCCCAAAATAATTAAATACAGGATTCAGAGGGAGATGTAGAAAATGGATACCCAGTTCCAGACACCAGCAAAACAAAGATAAATGACATCAAGGAACCCAACAATGCCCACAAGAACACTCTCAAAGAAATTCAGCAAGTAAGCACTGAGAATTTCATGGAGATGTTACTAGACATGGTTAACCAAAACATACAAGAGGCACTCAAGAAATTTTAGGACACCAAAAATAAAGACTATGAGAAGACAGAGAAACAAATAAATGAACTCATAGGAGCCCTGAATAAACACCAAAGTGAAACAGAGAACACTATAAATAGAAAAATAAATGAATTAAAGATGAAAATAATATTAAAGAGGAAGTGACCCATGATATGAAAAACCTCAGAAAAAAGAATGAAACAGAAATACAAAACACAATGGACAGCCACTCCAGCAGACTAGAACAAGCAGAAGACAGAATCTCAGAACTTGAAGATAAAATGGAAATTAAAGGAGAAACTGAAGAGCTATGAGTCAAACAACTCAAGACCTGTGAAAGGAATAAAGAACTCACTGACTCCATCAAAAGACCAAACCTGAGACTCATGGGCATTGAAGAAGGAGAAGAGGTGCAAGCAAAGGGATTCATAATATATTCAACAAAATGATACCAGAAAAATTCCCAAACATAGAGAAAGCTATGCCTATTCAGGTACAGAAAGCCTCCAGGACACCAAACAGACTTGACCAAAATAGAACTACCCAATGACATATTATCATTAAAACAAGAAGCACAGAGAATAGAGAAAGACTATTG